GGTGGTAACATGAAAGGGATACCTATCGATCTTTGATTGTGTCAAGGAGCATGTTGTTTTGGACAGGACAATCAATTTCGCTGCAGGATAAGTTCTTGTCAGTGCAGTTTTTAGTCTCATATTGATTGATCCTGTGACATCGTCACCTTTGAATTGAAGTTTAATAAAAATAGGCTTTTTATTTGCTGTAATTTCTTTCGGCTTTTTAACTTCATATTTGCCGTATTTCTCAATAAATTTCAGTGGGTATCCGTTATTCTTTAAACATTTTTTAACATTCATAACTTCCTCTTCTAGTGTATCGGAAGTACATATTCTTTCTGTTCTGTAAAACAGTGTTTTGACCAGTGCCTTTTTGTAACTGATTGGACAAAAGCTATTGAAATTAAGATAACTACCATTCCATGTGTCTTTCTTATAAACTGAACGTTGAACTGTACCATCTTTTCTTCTTTTCATCGCGATATCGAGAAAATGGAACTTGTTTTCTTTTTCATGTTCCATAGTGAAATGGATATTCGGATGTGCTTCATTGAAAAACTCTAGCAGATTTATTGCATGTTGTTTATTATTACATACGATGAAGGTATCATCAACATATCTCGAATAATACGTCATTTCATCAATCGCTCGTTTGAGCGATCGTCTAACGTATTTCAATGCCATGATTTGTAATCACTATTTCAATGATCTGGAATCTTCCCTCCCAAACTCTATATGTTCGAAACAAAATTTTATGACCTCATTAACTCTAACGAAATCTTTGCCACATTATGTTACACTTATTCATCCTTCATCGCCCTCTGATGTATAAGTATGTCAATATCTGTAATAATGTTGAATTTTAAATAATTTAGGTTGTAAGCAGCTGATGAGAACCTAACGAAATAAAATGAATTCATATTATTCTGCACCAATTTTTGTTCTTGCTCTCTTTAAAATAATAAAGGGAACTATGTGTATGAAATTAACTAATATAGTACATAAAATACTAGCCTCGATAATTATCAGACGCTTAACTAAGACTCGTGAACTGCAAACACGAGAGAATCAAGCTGGCTTCAGACCTGGTTGTGGCTGCATCGACCACATATTCACCACTCGTCAGGTTCTAGAACACAGGCATACTTATCGGCGACCGACAATGGTGATCTTTCTTGACTTAAAAGCAGCATTTGATTCTGTAGACCGCGAGACTCTGCGGCAGTGTCTGTCATTGAAAGGCGTACCTCAGAAGTACATAAACCTTGTGAAGGCTCTTTACTCGAACACTATACTAGTCGAGTCAGTGCTTATGGCGAACTGTCATCTACTTTTGCAACTTCAAGTGGTGTCCGTCAAGGCTGTCCGCTTTCTCCATTTCTGTTGAACTTCATCATAGACCTACTGATGGAAATAACACTCTCGTCGACTGAATTCTCGGGTATTGATCTCCTACCATGAGGTCCACTTATCGACTTAGAATACGCAGATGACATAGTCCTGTTTGGTGAAGACGCTGACAAAATGCAGTCTTCTGGTAGCACTAAGCAACAATGCCAGAATGTTTGGGATGCGCTTCTCTCCCTCTAAATGCAAGTTGTTGCTTCAGGACTGGTCTGCGTCAACACCTGAACTAAGAATAGGGAGTGAAGTAGTCGAACGCGATGACAACTTCACTTATCTTGGAAGTCTGATCAGCCCTAATGGGCTGGTATCAGACGAAATCTCAGCACGGATTCGAAAAGCTCGTTTGGCTTTTGCCAACTTATGTCACCTATGGAGAAGCCGAGATATCCGTCTATCAATAAAAGGACGAGTATACTGCGCGGCAGTCCGTTCTGTCTTACTTTACGGCAGCGAAACATGGCCATTAAGAGTAGAAGACACTCTTAAGCTACTAGTATTTGACCACAGATGCCTTAGAAATATTGCTGGCGTCTGCTGGGATCACCGGGTAAGTAATAGTGAGGTTAGACGCAGGGTACTAGGGAATGATGGTAATTCAGTTGATGAGGTTATGAACCTTCATCGACTGAGATGGTTGGGCCACGTGTTACGTATGCCTGAACACCGATTACCATGACGTGCAATGCCAACCGGTGTTCGGGGTGTTTGGAAGAGAATTAGGGGGGGGCCAAACCAAAACGTGGCATCAGTGCTTGAAGTCACTAACTTCTAGTCTGAGCCATGTTGGTAGATGCAGACTACTCAGTTAGGGTCCACGTGACTATCGTAACCAATAGTTGTAGACTCTTGGTGACATGGCTCAGAATCGATCACAATGGTTTTAGGTGTATACACTCTCTATCTTCCCTTAAACTAAGAGATTAAAATTGCTTCATATCTTTCTTTCTATGAACTAATTCTTTCTTCCTGTACTGTATCTTTATATGTAATCTTTCTTTTATATATTACCACCTCTGAATTCATTACTTTTGTGAATCCGGTGTCCATCTTGTTGTGTTAATGAGGTATGGCAACTTGGACCGATGCATATATGTGCCTGGTCCTACGTTGTAGCTGACTGACTGAAATTAAGCCGATGAAAATCTCAACTAAATACTACGTTCTTAACTGGCTAATTACTGATATATGACAATTGGGATTCAGTAGCTAGCTGGTAATAGACAATAACAAAATATATCTTTTTCTACAAACCAATCCCGGAACATCAGCCATGTGACCGGTATAATGGTCGAAAAGTAAAGTTATTTGATTATTATTTGAGTGACGTCCTGCTAACCACGTTCATTACCGTACTATTATCTATTTCTGTTATTTTGTTGAATAAGAATAACTGTTTACTGGTCATGTATTTTAATGGGCTTTTGTCGACTATTGGGTTCCTTTACCGATCTTCATTCAGCCGCGATTTAAATCTAAACAATAACAATTGATGACAGCACATATATAAAACAAAGATAAGATTTTCTTTATACGCGGTGTTGTCCATTCTGACGTTTGCATTTAGGTCTGTTATGAGTATGGTCAGGTCTTTTCCTTCGCGTTTCTCTACGATAAACTCCAGCCTCTTATGAGACATTTTTATTTTCGCTATCATCGTTGGTGGGTATACAGCACTAGACGACATTCATCTTAGTATTTTCTCTTTTTTATGCAGACTCTGGAGCGATCAGATCCCCATCCTTAAAGCCTTTTTCTCGCTTTTTCTTGAGGCATCAACACAACTCGTATGACGCGTTTTGTTTTTTTGGGACCAGAAAACAATAACGGCTGTTCCGAAACCAATAATTTTTGTCTAGCTTATGTTTCACCTATTCAGAGCAATCCCAGATAATATCTTCTAATTTCTGGGGCTGTTTTAATTACCCTCCCGGTTTTCCACATCGACATTAATTGTTTCCCTGGTTGCCGAGAGGGATATTAGTGTCATGCCTGCTAAAGAATCCTGGCTTTCATCAAGAGGCGACACAACCATTATATAAGACGACTTTTAGTGTTTTTTTGTCTAAAGAGATCCATCTGTAACACAAATTACACATAAAACTGGAATGGTTATCCACTAGAGGTGTCGTCTTTCGAAAGAGATTTTGGTGATTCGGTCTCGTGTGACCTGAAATCATATGATAATTGGGACAAAAATGTCTTAAAACCATATCTTAAACTGTTAAATTATTCCTTTGTGGCCAACCTGACAATAAAAGATTTAAAATGATTTGGCTTCACTTAGTCCCTAAATACAGTGATGTGTGACAGCAGGTTTGATTGTACACACACGTCTTAACATTTGTGAATTATCAAGTCTTGAGACTTCTTGCCTTCTGACTGTCAAGAAAGTTCCATTAAGTCCTTTAAGAGGAAGAACCTGGCGCGTGTTTCAGAAAGGGCAATGATTTCGTACTTGTTGTGATTAACTTTACTTTTGTGTGCTTGTTGCGTCAAAAAGCATTCTTGGTCTACTGAACTTGAAGTATTTCGGTCAAGGTTTGAAATCTTGATAAACTTTGTCTTTTTTTACCTTCTTTTTCAGTGACTGACATTCCTACTGATATTGTGTTTTAGACCTTCTTAATCTGGTTACAATGGTTGGCAGTACTTATAAATTTGGACAGCCAAATTGTTTATTCCCTGTGGAGGAAGGAATGCAATGTGATAAGTGTAAAACCGGCTCCATAAAAGGTGTACCCGTTTAAGTCCCACTGCATACAAAAGATACTCGAAGCCGAACTTGCATTGGCTTTGTATGTTTTGCTGTACCAATAAGACGTTGCTGATCCAGGAGGCTATCAGACCCCCAGCTTTAGCCTGCAAGAAAAACTATGGTGTTTGCTCTGGTCACACGATTACTGAAAACGATGAATGTGTCAGTGTAGTACGTGCTATTACAGAACGTGTTAAACACCCGACTGTAATTGATGGAAAAGTAAAATCTCTGTTGAAACTAATGAGGAGTGAAGTGCCATTTGATACTAATATGAGTAGTTATGCTTCTATAGTAGAAGTCGAACACTCGGATAAAACCATCACTGTCCCTAATAGTCCTGGTGTGGCTGTCCTGAGTGATGAAAAATGGACGACAGTGTGGAGACAAAGAAGTGAAAATAATCCATAGGTTGTACCCAATTGGTTGGCAAGTCACTGATGAACTCCTATTCTGAGTCATAAAATGCACTAACAAAGTCTGGTAGTAAGAGATAATTCCACTCTAGCGTGGCTGGAAAAAACTTAATTTCGAATATTATTGTGAATAATTTGCTATACTCAAACGATTCTGATCCCAAAATTATGCACGCGCATAATTTGGAGAAGCTAGGAGAATTTATCCATAGCATATTACCAGATGACTCCCAAGGAGTTCTTGTCGAAACATTGATGAGAATAAGTAAAAGAATCGATGACACTGTTGAACCCCAACCATATACATCCCTAAGGTAATCCTAGGGTCGGAGAAGCAACGTGATCGGTTAAGTAGCGCCCGTAGTCACAAGTAAATTGAGTATAAAATGCAGTTTCCATCAAGAATTCGCCCGCTTTTAGAAAAAATAATAATAAACCATTCAAGAGGACGACATATTTTTTAAGAAAATGTAGAAGACTGAACTCATAAGTTCATGCATAAATATGAAAATAATGTATTGACAGCATTTTTGAAAAAAATATGTAATTAACAGAATCGACAATATGACCAGTGAAGCTTTACTTTTGCATTGATGTGTTGAGCGAGTGATTGCGATACATACCACATTTACCTAAATGCTGGGAAAATAACCAAAAAAATTTAAACGAACCTGGGAAAATTCGCCTTTCAATGGAAAGTAAACATTTGGCATCGTGTGGACGTTTGGTGCGAATTTTCCGTAATCACTAGAAGTGGTTTTAAATAGCAGAAACTTCTTGAAGATTGCTTCATCTATTTCCTTATCCAAACGCAACATCTTGATAGTGAAACAGAGTCTCCACTATGACAACGTCTCGTAATTTACGCTTGCTATGCGTTCAAACAAAATGTTTTCGTACACAAACATAGATTCCTAAACAAACCAGATCAGGTGTTCCGATTTGTTATCGAAAATGCCAGTGATTCTTAGATACATGAACGAGTAGTTTGGATAATTAAAATTACACTTCACTGGAAGAGGAGAAAAATGTGGGATAGATTCAGGTTACTGAGGTCTGATGAGACACAATCTCGGTATCCAAAGGCTCGAAATACCTGTGAATAGACCCTACGTAAGTCCAGAAGGTTGTACGAATAGAATATTGTTAAGGAATCCATAGAATGTCCTAAACGCTTGTATTCGTATATCAACCAAAGGACAAAAAGAAAAGAAAATATTCCAGCACTATTGGGAGACAATAATGCATCATCATTAGTGGAGGATGACTTTGGTAAAGCTCAAGTGTTACCAAACTATTTTAGTAATGTATACACCTTAGGAACGTCTTCTAAAACAGTGGGGACACTTCGGAAATTTCACAAGTCCAGAACAAATTACTTGTCGGTTAACCATCGACTTTCCCATCGAGTCATCAGCGAGTGGGACTCATCACCTCTGCACGTGGTTGAGGCTCCATCCCCCTACCCTTTCAAAAGAAAGTGTGATCGACTGCGACACCATCATTGCCAGGACTAACACAGGACATCAAGACTCTTGTCCTTTCCTGGCTGAGACTGGAACATAATCATCAAGTCATCGATGTGTGATCCCAAGAGACTTTAATGAACATAAGGTTAACTATGGAAATCTGACGGTTACGTGATCAGGAAGTTCTTTCGAACAGAAACTAGCTGGCGAGTTTATCACATATATCCTCGTGCAACATATTAAAAAACCTCCAGAGAGGACCGGGACTCCAAATCATTTAAAGACGCTACCAATAATCAGTGTTTGACAATGCCTTTACCAGTAACACCTTTTCTGTCGAAGTATGCCAACCCAATCAAATCAGGAGACAGAATTGAAGGAGTTCGAAGATATACTTAATGTTCTATGGATATACTGGGAAGTGATTAATCTGAGCTGGCTAACAATTGTAGGAAGTATGTAACACTGCGTATATCATAGGTAAAAGAGGAAAAAGAAATTGATAAATCATTGTAAGATACTATGCTTAGTCTTTAAAAATATGTCAAGTTTCCTCTAAAACGACTCATGGGAAATCGCTTGGACTTCCTCAACCGGCAGCGAATTCCAGCATTTGACAACTAACGAGTATAAAGTTGTGTCTACAGTCAGTTCTGCTGTGTTGTGTCTCTACTTCCTGTGCGTTACCCCTTAGGTTTGTGTTGGAGCTAGACTTATGTAGGTGTTTAAGAGGATGTCCAGAAGTGTCAAGGATACTGCAAGCCATTAGAAGGTCACCTCTAAGATGCGTGTACTCTGATGGGTGAAGGTTTGGTGGTTGAAGACACTCTTCATCCTCCCAACTTTAAGGTCGAGTCAGATTATCGTGATGTTCCAGTTCATCCTCTTGATTACGTATCTCTCTCCAAATTTTCACGTCATCAGCAAAAAGTAATAAGTCAGACGATATCTGTCGTGTAAGATCGTTTATATAAACCAAGGAAAGAAGAGGTTCTAGTACTGAACCCAGTGGAATCCCACTAAGACATTCCATAGCCCACGAGAAACTGAAGTTAACCCCGACCTTAAAGTGTCGAGTTTTTGGATGTGGAGTGAGCTAGTCAATTAGAGGTGATTTTATACCTAGTCGTTTGAGCTTATCGATAAGACATATATGGTTGATCCTACCAAAATCTTTTGGGAAGTCAAGGTAAGTTGCGTCAACCTGTAGTGGCATTAGACAATAGCCACACAATCCACAAAGCTGAACACGAGACTACTCAGAAAATAGATATTCAATATTTAACGCGGAGAAATACCTAACAATGGAGAAGGCGCGAACAATGAATTGAATGGACGGGAGTTGATCGAGTGGCATGGCTCGTCCATGCAGGCGTGGTCCATCTCAGTGTTACTCCTAACCTTATTCCTCATCATGTATTGGTAATTGATACGATACAGTGAGTTGGTGTAGTCGATGGTGTGACTTCCACGTAAGATCTTATAGATTAGGCAGTTATATCATGACGAATCTACAATTTTGGGATTAGGTCTATTATTAGAGTAGTACTAATATCATAGTAGACCATAATTCTACATTGGTGAGCCCAACTAAAGAAACGCAACCTATTATTATTAATCCTTATTTCCACTTCAACTTTCTCGATCGATTTTATATTTATGTTAACACTGTATTCCAATGGTCCTCTGATTAATGCTCACATGCATTATCGTAATGTTATATTGATTAGTCCTCATGACAAACTAGCTCAATCGATAATAAAAACTGGTCGTCTGTATTAACTAATTAGCTTTGATGGTTTGTTAACAAGCTGTAATAGCATTTACATGCTTCAGCGACATTGTCTTGTTTAAACATCAAGCTCCAGCAAATATGACCTGTAAATAGCGTAAATATACATTGACTAACAATGCGATCAAGGACTAAATAGTTCTCTGGATCTAATTCTCAGTGTTCCTTCACTTAACACCTCATCCTGTTTTAAACGATGCACTATCCTGTAATATCTTTTCTTCCGACCACTGCCTGCCTAATTTCATATTCTCGAGTTCCATTGCCAAACAACGAGGATGACTACTCCAAAAACATACGGTGAGTTTCAGCTATAAGTTTTCTGCAATCATTTTTAGATGGTTCGTTCAATGACAACCATACAATTATCTGGATTCATTCGATTGTTCTGATCCGAGCGAGTGTAAAAAACCTCAACAGCATCAAGCACCCTGGAATTAATTGCCATACTGCATGTTTTATTCTGGATGCTTTTGGATCAATACTACTCACGAATGGCGTTATATATGTCGTCCACTGAATAATCTAATTTTCAAAAATAATCAAGGCGAGTTTAACTATTTTACTTAATGATCTTTTTTATTTAACATGTATATGTTTCCGGTTCATTTTGCTATATATTTGTAAGTGTCCCTAGGCTAAATGCTGTAACTCCTTATGGAATGTTTATAACGCATCATATTCCTGCCTGAAGTCTCACAAGCAGTCTAAACTTTAAAACTATTTTCTGGTCATGTTCATTATTTTTAAATCGTCATATGCGTCAACAACCTGCTTGTTAATCTGGCCCGTATATACGTTTTACTATATCTTCATGTCTTTTGAATTTAGAAATCATCTGAATCGCCCTTAACATTTATCAATAAACCCATCATAGTTGTTGTTGCTAATCGTATTTGGGTTTATGTATTGGTTTATCATAGTAGCAGCCTAAAATGCAGACATAGTTTAGATAATTCGATTAAAAATTTGGGTACTATCAACTGCACTAGTAAAATAACTAAATCCCCAAGTAGCTGTTGGCTAAACAAACGCTTAAAATCAAAACTCCGTAGCCTACTAGAATTAACACTAAACGAATATTTCTGAATTGAAATTTATAATTAAATTAGGCGTCTCGGATTCTTTAACGTTGTAAATTTCTGATGATTTTGAATCACCTAAAGCAACAATACCTATTTTTCCACTGACTAATCCTTAATCAACACTATAACTAGTTAAATTTAATAGTTCCAGGATATCGTCATAAAGCATTGTCATAACTTGACAATCACGTAATATGACTGATAAAATTAATGAAACTATTAACGAAATCGGTCAACAAATTGACTTATAATTACCATTAAATGGTGTTGTTTTCTTGGTATCTTCATCCCTCACAGATGATTACAGTATGTTTCTCTCTCAGTTGCTCATTCAGTAAATATCTCAAAACCTTGTCAGTCTAATTTATGGTTTAGCGACACAATCATGCATGCAAATAATCAGTATAAGCAGTCGAGCAAATCTCCTGCAAACTGAAAACATCAATGTCGAATTTACCCCAACACTGACTAAGGTTCAAGCCATTATCATAGACATGAGTTGGGAGTATACTCCCCTTGGTTACAACTTATGTACTCCCTAATAATCACATGAGCATCACTCACTATTAATCATCTTGTAAAAACTTGTTTAGCTAAATACATCTTGCAGCACCACATCACTTCGTAATACGATACAGGCCTAACTGATTTTAATAACTTATAACCACTATATCTCGATCATATCGTATTCCGCCTTATGATAAACTGCATACTTGCAACTAACTTGTATGCCCAATCAGCCGGCAAGTATAAATACAAATAAATAGTCTGCCACAGATCAGAACATTGAGTCTAGAGCATGTCTCTTATGAATACACTCAGGTTTAACGATTTGTTCCTAGCTATCTGTCCAAAATTCATATAATCATCACTCACGTATTTAAATTTTGTTTTAATAACCATTCATGTGTATTAGTAGTATTAATAAATTCTATCACGGTCAAGTAAAAATGAGGTTGAGAAAATCTCCCCGTAAATAAATAAACCGTATCAAACTAACTGGAACACTAGTTGGAATTCTTCGCCACGGTATACTTTTGTTCCTTCAGTTAGCCTACTAATACAGATGCAATTGGAACTCAACTCATATGGACAACTTACCGGCATAATCGTTATTTGATTTCATAGTTTGAACCAAAACTAATACCAATATTAACATTTCTACAATATTCATTACTTTAATATTTCTAAACACAAAATAATTACTGCCTATAAGTCAAGTTATTAACACGCATCGTTTTATTATTATTATTATTATTATTGTAACCCCATTTTTTATAGCTCAAATAATCTTCACCCAAATTTTCATTTCAAGAGTTTTAAGCATGAAGGCAGATATTTTAAAATTATTACATGTATTTCCCGACCAGATGCTGCCGCTTTCTTTTTGATTTATCTTTCAGCTTACCAATACCCGGAGGATTCTTATTATCCTTGGTAACCTCCGGCGCGCGACGATCCCATCCAATTTGGTATCGAACCAACATCACGTTGATTCTGGTGGGAGAGTAGTGTAGTGGCATTAGACAATAG